ATAAATTCGAAAAAAGGTGAAAAAAGACAAAGTTTGGAGGGGAGGGGGAGGGAAACGCAGGAGGATCGTTGGAAGAGCGACGATGAATTTAACGAGATTTCTATGATTTTTATTTCCTTCTATTTCTCCTCTCTTCTCTTTTCTACGGGAGAGGAGTAAATAAAGAGGAGAGGAGTGGATAATGGAGGGAAAATTTGCCAGACGAAACGAGAATATTCGCGTATAATAGCTTTTAATTCCATTCCTTTTTTTCCTTTTTCCTTTTGCTCTCACCAAAGTGGCGGAATTTTTTACGAAATTTCTGACAAAATTCCGCCGCCCTCTTTGGGGATCCAGGGTTAATAATCGGAAATCGTTCGCGGCTCATCTTTCTCGCCGAGCGAAGATTTTTAACTTTTATCCTATTCCTCTTGCCACTCGAGCCATGAAATATGGAACGAAGGTTGGAAATTATTCATGAGTGACACGTGACGGATTATTTTCTCGCGCGCACACACGATCGACGATATAGTCCTCCTCCTCCTCCTCTCCCCCTCTTGGGAAAAGATTCTACGCGATACAGAAACTTTTCATCGAGGAAAGAGAAGGAGGATGCTATCGTCTTTTTTCTCTCTCTCTTTATTTATTTCGCGAAAAGGTGCGACTAAACGATTGCTCGATCGTTTCGAACGCATTATCGCACACTCGAGAAACAATCCCTGTACCATCATCCTCCTTTTCTTATTATCTTACGACGCTTTCAAAAGCGTTAACTCGTTTAACGGAAGATTTTATAATCCTTATGATCGAGCTTAAAAATCAGATAACAACGTTGCGTACGTAATTCCATCGTCATCCCCTTCGTTTCGATCAAACCGATTCGATTAACCGAGCACGTCGCTTCATTCTCTATCCACTTAAGGAGTTAGGATTAAGATAAGAGATAAGAATTTTTATTAAATATTCGCATATTCGCACTTGTCGTGTCGTGGATATCTCGATTCTCTGATATCGTCTTAATGTATTATTAAGACTGTCGCCCGAATTGAAGCGAGGATTGAATTCTTAAAATAACAACGAGAGACGTAATTTTATTATTATTATATAAAGACAATGAACTCGAGAAATTTTATCCATTCGAAAAGGTTAAAATTATTTGAATTAATTTAACCGATTTTACTTTATTACGATTATATTTATTCATAATTTTTCACTTATTCAATGCAAACATTCTATATTGAAACTTATAACAATAATAATTTCATATATAGATATAGGTCCACGACTAAAACGGCTGAACCGTCGAAACAGAGATTAATCGATCAACGTTAAATGCAAATCGTTTTCAACGATAACGACGCGAGCAAAGTTGAAGTAATCCCCGATTTCGATTCATATAGATCGTTGCGGCGCATCGATTTGTTTTCGTGTTATTCCTTGGATAATCTCGCGACACCAGCTTGGAAAGGTCGCTTGGTCCTCGCTCCAATTTCCTTGTCTCTCGTCTCGTCTCGTGGAGGATACAATAAATCCTCGACTCGTTCGTGAGCGAGGACGAAAATTTAATTAGAGAGTTCCACCCCGTTCCCGGTATTTAAATTCCACACGAATTCCATTAACCATCCGAAAACAGCTCTCAACACGCCATCGTCCCGCCATCCCCCGTCGATAAACCATTCGATCGCTGCGACCGCGCTAATCAAATTAGCTGCGCTGATCTTCGAGCAAAACGTAACCCAAGCGTAATTTTCCTTTTACCACGAAAATCCAGAAAATTCGGATATCAAATTTCACGAGTTGGTAAATCTTGGAGAAACGAAGAATATTATTCTCTCCCCCGAAACAATTCTATGATAAATTTGAATCATTCTGATCCTCTTCTTCTTCTTTCATCCCTTTCCGATAATGGATGTTTAATGGATGAATCGAGAAAAAAAACTCGTACGTTTAGCGCTAAAATTCCGTCCCAAATTCCGCGACAATGGAAGGACACGAGGAAATGATCGTACATCAACGTGAATTAACGCGAAGACGTCCGATAACCGCGTTATCCCTGAGACTCGGTGGCTAATTTGATTAGCCGAGCTCGTGAAACATCCCCCTTATCCCTCCCCCTCCAGTTGGATACCGATCCAACTTCCTGCAGAACGATTTAGAGCTGAACACCATCTTATCCTTCTTATTTTTGAAAGAGAAACTTTCTCTCGAGATTATCGCGATAATATTAACTCCTTCTCCTTTTGCTTCGGTTCCAATTGGGTAGAATCGGTTAAATAACGATCCGCCAAGAGAAGGGTGGAAAATCGAGGTTCGAGAACGGTTGCGATTAACCGAATTACCAACCGCTTCGACATCCCATGGATCGAGCTTGGACAAAGCTACGTACGATCTCGAAACGTTTACAGATCGTTTGGAAAGCGAAATTTCCATTATGGAACGTGATTTACTACGCGTAATGGACAATACCGATTCCGAGAGTAGATGGTAGAATATATATATATATATATGTAGGATAGAATTATTTAACCAATTTTGGCCGGTATTAATCATGTTTAATAATATGCCTGTACACGTATTCAATATTACCCAAGTTCTCCGACGATTTCACGAAGGATTGATTTGAGTATTATATAATTAATTTTGACAATTAATTCTGCTTTCCAAGAATTTGCACATTCGATCTCGTATCACTTTATACCTACATCTAATCAAAGAAAAAAGAAAAATTTTAAAACAATAATTTATCCAGTTGATTCGCAACGTATTTCGAAGCCGTATGCTCTCATCTCGGGGAGAAACAAATTCGAATTACGAATCGATCTGGGCCGGGTAAATGGCCGCGAGAACCCGTGATCCTTTCGGCGGAGCTCCGCTCTGGGGAAAGAGGGGGCAGTATTCTCTGTCTCCCTCCACGCAGGAAAGTCGAGTCCGCCTCGAAAAATCGAGAAAGGGGATGCGATCGTGGCTCGCGTACAAAGCGTCCACGAGCTTTTTGTTCCTCTTTTCTACGTTTCCTCCGTTAAGTGAATGCGAGCAACGCCGACCCGAGGGATGTCTCTTCTCCCCCATCCTTTAAATGCGTTTTTTCTTTTTTCCTTTTCTCTTTTACAAAGCAGAAAACCGCGGCCCCCTCCCTCCTTTCGCTCTCCCGCCGCTCTCGATGAAATCTGTTGCTTTGTCGACGACGCGTCCACGAATAATCGGAGTCGAAAAAATTTATCGGGGACCACCTTGATCCCCGTGGATTAAATAGCGATGGATTCTGAATCGAAACTCCGCTCGTCGATCACGTGTTACGCGAGATAACCGAATATTAAATCGTGGAAATAGTTTAAAGTATAATATATATATAATAAATTATAATAATAATATATTAAAATAATAATTATATTAAAATAATAATATATTTTATATATATATATATATTCCTTAAGTCAATTTTGTCGCGCTCGTGTTATATTTAAAATTGAATTGAATCTATCACTGTCGATATTTTATTAACGCGCGAGGAAACCATTTATTTCCTTCCTCGACGTCCTTATTTCCCCTCCTGATCTCGAGTCGAGCCTACCCCCACCCTCGTACCCCGAAAAAGAAGGATCTCGAATCCACGGAAAGTTCGTAACAATTTTTCCAAAGATACGAGCGAGTCTTCGAAACAACCTCTCCATCTAAATTCCTCGCTATCTCGTATATAAATCCACCAGCAGAAACTAGGGGATCCTCCTCCCGATCTCGGATAAGAGAGTTCGAGATTTTCGATTGTGTCGTTTGGAAATTT